ATTCCTATTCTCACACTGAACCTGTTCCTGCTGTTGAAGAAAGATCATTCATTGTTGTTCAAAGCTACTGAGAGTGTCTCTGCTTATTGCTTCATATTGATTTATTTGTGTATTTGTTGTATAAGTCTGTCACTTTATCTCATTCAGCTAGATGTTTTCAATATTACTCATTTGTTTGTTAGCATGATTGCTAACTCAGTCTATTCATATATCAATGCTATCACTGAACTTCATGATGCAGAATTTAAGGCTCTCAATAGTCTATCATATGTCAGCACATTTGCTGAGCTTCATGATACAGAATTAAGACTCTCAGTGGCCTATCAATGAAAGGAGTGAAGCAATTCATAATGTAAAGAGTTAAGCTCTAAGAACTAGAGGCTAGTCCTTCTATATAACAAGGATGAAATGCTTAAGAAAGGGAAGAAAAGAATGAGATGAGAACTCAAGCTTAAGCAAGCTCATATAGCATGATCACATGCGCACATGCAAATGATAGCTAGGCTGAGTCAGTCAGCCAGAGTGAATCTAAAGGTTCAACCTCTTATAAATTGTTCTTTTATAGCTGAACACATTGATAATTTCACAAATTCAATACTTAGATATTAGCATATAGATTCTACTATCTCTCCTTCAAAAGTCAGCAAGATGTGAACTTATAGATTCATTGAATGTCTATCTGAGTATAAGAGAGTGAAACAAAAGTCAATAAATTTAAAAAGAGTGACAGTTGAAGATATTGAATATATCAATATATGATTTGAATGTCTTCAGATTCTATTTGAGCAGTATCAATTTCTCATCTGTGATACATACAACTTCAATGAGATTGAATTTCAAGAAGGATAAGAATGTGGAGAATGAGTTATAACTGCTTTTAAAAAAAACTAATTTTATTATTTCTTTATTTTTTTCAAGAGATTTGATTACAGTCATTGAATATGTATTCATGAATAATTATGTCATTCTGCTATTGATAATCTTGGCCTTCAAAACACACTTGAAGAATTGATATACACAGACAGATTTGCTTAGCAATTATAGAATTGCTATATTAGATATTGAATTTACAAAAAATATGATTGAATTTGAATAACTTAAATATTTTAATACTGCTACAGAAAAGAGACTGAAAAAAAGTCATCAATTGCTTTTAATAAATAATCATAAATCTTATATCACTGAGAAGTTCATACAATATATTAATCTTCATAAGATAATTCTATATGAATTTTCATTGCATATCACTCATTTGTTACAATCTCTGAATAGTCTATTATTTTAGTAATATAAGCATTATCATTTAAAAGCAGTCAATTATGCTGCATATCATGATTTTATTAAATATGAAAAACAGCAGTTTTTACAAGACCTTTCAGCTATGTAAAAGCAGATCTTTAAATTTGATACAATAACTACAAAATAAGCTTAACATGGTATATATTTATGGAATTCCAATTAAGTTCTTGACACTCTTAAACAGTGAATCTCATCACCTTCTTCACTGCAGATTTATGAAGATGTGAATGATTTAAATCATATATATATCTCTTCCTCTCAGCTATTCTTATCAAAAATAATTCAAAAGCTGAAATATCATATTAATATTATGAAAAACACTATATAAAGTATTAGAGATACTCTTGATTTGAAATCACTCACTTTGACATGTTATTTGAACAAGATATTCAAAGTATGTCTAATCAATGCAGAACTTAATAAGTAACAGATCACTAAATTAGAGAACTTTCTCAATATCAGTAAATATCACAGAGCTAAAACAATCTGTCATCAGATTCAAGTAGAGAGAGTCCTCACTATTAAAGATGTCAATAGAAAAATCAAGCAGTGTAAGAATAATGAAGCTGAAAAAGAGCAGAATAAGAAGTGATAGAGACTTGAAGTTAATCTTATGAAAATTAATAATAACTCATTCTTATCACTGACAGAAGAGAAATTAAATCAATTTTGAGATGATACATATACTGAGAATGATGTAGATAATCTTATTATTATAGATTAGCTACTGGTTGTTGATATGGAGTGCAATAATGAGGATGTGATTCAAGATTTTTATCATTTCAGTGTTTTTATTGTTTTGGTGTGGTGCACCCACATGAGGTGTGGGTTGCGCAGCGGCACGATTACTCGATGTATCTCAATACGGGTTTTCCCCACGGCCTCAGCTGTTCTTCCATTGTTCCTGTCGACTTGACTGCCCGCGTGGGAACTAGCTAGTTAGTTATTTAACTAAACTAGTTACCCCTCATCGGTGAAAATCCAGACAATCTAGCACAATTACTTATTTGTATATATATTATACTCCATTTATTGCCACCGCCATCATTGAAATACCCTTAGTGATGGTAGGGAACTTTTTCTCTCGTCAACAATTTAAGCGCAGTCGCCTCCATTTTTTATCATACAAGTTAACATTCCCCACAGGATTTATACACTACACGCACGCCTCCCTTTCCGGGTCTTGTTAAAACTCTTTCATCATGGATTCCGTAAATCTTCACCATCGGATTGCTACTGCAAATACTCTGGTAACTACAAATACGTCCCTAAGTGATGACGAAGGCGCTCCCGACTTTGATATGAGTGGTGTATGATTTCTCTTCCATTTTCCGACCCTACATGTAGCTTGGAGGATTATGCTTGACTGAAAGATTTTCATATTTTTAAAGGCGACCAATATTCTGCTTGAAAGGCTTCAGGCATGGAAACACATGTGCGGATATTTGGAGAACTATGTTACAACAATACAAAAAGTGCAACGGAGCCAGTCCAAGGAGTTTGAAAAAGTTTTGAAGGTATGACTATGAGGCTTCTGGCTAAATTTCTTTTGAGGGTTAGGTGGATTGATTGCTAATATCGTGAGCGTCATGCAATAGACCGTGTCAGAGCCTCTAAAAGAAGCTCATCATTTCAATCAGAGCAAAGACGGGGTGACTGGACTGTTCGACAAATTACGGGCTAATACAGAAGTACTTGCACATCTATGGCTACGAGACTCCTGGGCCCTGACTCAGTTTCCAAGTTGCTAACTGTGCAGCATGATAGGGAATTGTGAACTTTCACCTTGAAACTGAGAAAAGCCTGAAAATTACTGTTCTCCCTAAACTGGAACACCTTCATCATAGCATCAAATGCAAAGCCAAGGAACTCCGTCACCGTGCATCAAAGGGCTCCAAACAGGTTGGTAAAGCCCGTTCTACAACCCAGAAACATATCGAAATGTTGGGTCAATACACGGCAGCTTTTGACTCTGCCACCGGTGGAAAGCTAGACTCCGCTCATGATCCTTACCTGTTATGCAGAGGTACCAACTATCGCCTCAACAAGCAGGTAACTGAAGAAAACAACCATCTTCATGAGATGCTCCAGGTTCAGAATTCGTTTTCTCAATCTGAAGCCCATATTCTTGAAACCGTGCGAAATGTGCTCAATCAAATTTTCCAGTGCATGGATGCCCAAACAGCACAGCAGCGGGCAGCCTACGCAGACATGGTCAGTGCAGCCCAAAAAATCCCTCCAGGCTTCGAATGGCTAGATTTTTACATGCGCAATGAATCCTCGTTGTTCAACCCCAATACTGTTCCCCGCAGCATATCCAATGCAACGTTCCCGAACCAGGATCACCAGGCCACCAAAGCGCTAATTGAGGGCACACTTCAGCGCAAATCCCATGCGGTAATCAGGGGCTATAGTTATGGCTATTATGCCGTCTCTCCAGCTGGTTACCTCCACGGATTCAAGGACAACGACGATTATCGCCATGATCCCACCCCCGATATCACTCTCTACCTCCCCGAATGCGCTGTTGGCCACATGGATGGTGTTAAATTTAGTGTTAAGGGCAAAGACGTCTCCGGTGGTAGGGTAGGCCAGGTCCTTGCCCCGTCGTCTGAACTTAGTTTTAAAGCCCACTCCAAGGACGAGGCTAAGGAGTGGGTGAGTGTCCTTTCTAGCGTATCTAGTTCAGGCGGTTTGGGATCGGGGCCGGCCAGCCCGACAGCAAGCCCAACAGCAAGCCCGACTGTGAGCAAGGTAACAAGGGATCCTCACGAAAGTTCCCCTTTAGCTCAAACGTCCACGCAGGTGTCGCTTACATCTCCAACACCACAGTTTCACCAAGAGGAAGGGCTCGTGGCACCCCAAACTGAGGGAGTGGCAGCCGTTCCAACGCCGAATCCGCAAAATTCATGATATTCATATATCAGGAACAGCCCCTTCTATGGAGGAGCGAACACCTCAGGTTTCCCCACATTTTCCTTTGTCAGTTGAATGAGTTTTTCTCCCTCTATTTTGGTATATCAAGGTCATGTTACCATACGGTAGCGAGTTCAGGAGGGCAAAAAGACAATATTGCATGCTGACACCTTTGAGTATCTTACTTATTATTTCAGTCCATTTCTACTATTTATTTCGATAATTTGGATATGGATGTCTCTTCTATTGTCCCATCATTCACGATGAATCCACTTGGATATGTTATCACAATTTCTCACGATTTCTCACTTGGTCATTTGTATCACATGCCTAGCTGACAATGTATTTCTTTTTCATCTTATACTGGACCTGAATGAATAAAAGCCCTTGCGTGTCATTACATCCACTGCAGAGTGTAATATGATAGCTGACATTAGTGTTGCAAGAAATCTAAGATGATTAAGCAGTTGTCCTTTCAAAACATATAATTTATCCCCTAATACCAGCAGTTAAAATATTTGCTTCCCAACGCCAAGAAATATTAAATTAAAATACCACCTGAATGAAAACTAGGCCATATAATGTTCCAAGATGGTTCCGCAGTGAAGAAACTAACTATAAACCGTAAGACCTCGAATGGTAGATGAGAAACTAGAATATCAAGTGGAACGATAATTCCACTGTGGCAAACACAGCAACTAATTGCAAATACACACAGAGAGAAAAGAAAAAGAAAAGAAACTAACATACAAATAAACTAAGTAACAATAGTACAGCAAGATACATCAGAAGTCATCCGGATACTCAAGGTCCTCAAGCTTATTGCTGAGAAACTTTGCCAGGGCCGCAGATTTAGATTCTAGAGCTAGCAATACCGCAGGCGATGAGTCGAGATTCAGGCTTGCAAGACGGTCTAGGTCATTGCTTCGATCGATTTCCCATTGCCGCTGGAGCGCTGCATCCGATTCCATTTGCGGAGATGTTGGGGGCCGCTCAGTGGTTGCTTGTTCGCGGTCTGCTGCTGCTGCTTCTGGCGATGACGCGGATGTCGGGTTGGGGGCCGACGATGCAAGACTCGTGGAATGGCGATCAAGCGGGCTGTCAAATGCGGTTGAGTAGGATTCCGGCCCAATAGTGTTTCGTTCGGTATCGCTCGCTGAGGAGCCAATAACAGCACGCCCACGGCCTCCACTGCCACTAGAGGGTGATGGATGGTGCTGTTGTTGCAGCTGCTGGGGAGGGATAACATGACTTGGTCCGACAACAGCAAGTAGAACCTTATCTGCGATCTTGGTAACGACGGCAGCTAAGTTTTCAAATTCGAAGACTATTGATCCGACATCACCAAGCGGCACTGATGGGGCGGTCACAAATGAGCTGGGGTGGCTGGCGGGATTAACACCGGTGAGATTCCTAGCGGGGGCATTCACTGCGAAGGATAGATATGCGGCGCCATAAGTGGCGCTAAGGTTTCGTAGCTGGCGCGGAGGTAGCGACGAGGCATGAGCAAAGATGGCACCATTTGTTGCGAATATTCTAGATACGACCAAATCGAGATTGACCACGGTGGATTAAAAGACGATCTCTACAGGGGAAAAAGACAAAATATAAAAATAAAAATAAATTTAAGAGAATGGAGGGCCACGAACATGATAGAGGTAATTTCTGGAGGACACAGATTATCTTCGAGCAAGTCTGACAAGGCGTCCGTGTCGAGCATTTTGATACCGGGCAGTTCTGGTATCATCTTGGCAGGGGTCATAGGATTAGGATCGGGGTCCGTGACATCAGCACTGAAAGCCGATGATGTCCGGGATGAAGAACAGGAACAGTCTTCTGGAAAAAGAAATAATTGTCTACGAAGTCCTCGTCCTCGTCGTTGTATAGAATTATCGGCTCGCCGTTGCACGCGAGATTCTGCGCGAACTTCACGTGACTTCTTTGCCAGCACGGTATATGTTCAAGCAGCTCGAGTCAGGAGAGCTGGAACCGGTGCGGATATCTATTAAATGATCGTCAGTTATCGACATGTTCTCAGGATGAGGTGCGGGGAGATAAATTCGCAGAACGGGAAGGGTTGGGGAACGCTATGCTGCAGGAATATATATCCTGATGCTTCTTGGGGCAACCTGATGAACCTACAGCCGGAGGAGGGAGGGGTTGGCTAGTTTATTAGAAGAGCATGAAACATCAGAATAACACATAATTGGGAATTGGCAACAGGCGAGCATGAATACGAGAGGGCGCCAGGAGAGTCGAAAGAAAAGCAAATCCTCTTTGGGGTGTGGGATGACATAGGTTGTATACAGTATGGTGAATTTCAAAATCTTTAAGCGCAGCCGAAAGGAAATGTCCATTGAAAAAATTAAAAATAAAATAACATATAAAAAATATTAATAGGTGTGGTGTTGAGTGGAGATACATATATGTTCTGGGCTCTGTGGTGTGTATGAATGCATGATATGATATTTCGGTTCAAGGAGCGACATCCATCGCATCCATCATATCAGGAATGAAAATTTGAGGGGAATAGGAAATTAAGTCAGAGCTAGAGACATACCAATGCACGGAAGACGTAACTTATGCCACCACACTATGTTGACTGGGACTTGGTCGTTGAGCGGGTTATGTTAGGGTTATAACCCGAGTAAAAATATTTGTTTTGATATTGAATGAAGTCGAAGATAGAAAACATATCTAGTTTAACTACATAGAGTTAGGTAGTTGGTTAATTAGTTGGTTAACTAGTTAGTTATAGTTAGTTAGTTACAGACTAACTAATTAACTAGTTAAATGACCACCAATCAGAACAACGGTGCCATTCCAACTAACTGATTTCATCAAATCATTTAATGTGCCATCTGTCAAGAGCATTGTATCTATGCCTCAAATCTCTGCGGACTGCTACGACCGTATGTGATGGGCATGACTGCCCGGGTAGCCGCAACACCTCACGTGATATACGCGTGTATTAGTAAGGTAGCCAGTTCCTCCCACCAATAGAAGAATCCCACAGGTTATTCCCTCGTCCGCAAGTTCTTGCTCAATTAGCGTGGTTTCAATTAGTGTATATTAAACAGTTTCTTATTGAATAATCAAAGTAATTTTGGTATTAGCATGTATTAAGATAATTTATAAAGCTTTAATTAAAGATTCACATTGTCACTACAGAGGTATGAAACAAAAGTAATGACTTACAGTAGTGTTGCTTGATGTATTGCAAATAGCAATTATCTTATCTAATTTGTATGAAATAAAAAGTAGCTTTGATTCAAATAAACAAACAAGAACATCATACTTTATTTCTCTATTTTTGATTTCTACCATAATAATCTATCTCATTTGAGTGAATAACTTGTGAAATTCTATATTCAAAGTCTTTTTCAACATCTGCTTTAGTCTCTACAAATGCAATTATATCATATCATTCTATTGAACTGTAAGTTCAAGCTTTTACTTTAGTGAGTTTCAACTATACTGCTCTTGAAACTGAACTCCAGCTTCAAATTTCTTTTTATATAGTTCAGAAAATTCAATAGAAAATCACTTAGTGAAAATATAATTCAAAAATTAGTCTATGAATTGAGAAATATTATGTTGAGAATTCTTTCTATTTAGAATAAAGTTTTAAAAAAATTCAAAAAGTTTTTAAAATATCTTTAGTTAGAGCAATGAAAATAAAGATATCAATTTTATTACCAGCTATTATATTTGATAAAAGTTTTATGAATTATACTCTAAGAATTATGAAAATAAATATAAATTATTATAATACAGTTAATGATAATATGAAATAGAATTAATTTACATTAATTCTCAATTATTTATATATATCAAACTGCTTATCTCATTTGTATATTCTAATTCTCAGTTTAGTATTCTTATTATAACTATTTAGTAGATAGATAAAGTGAGCTTTGATCTTATTATCATCATATCTCTAGATTAATTTATGATGTAATATTAAACTTCTCTTTTTTATAAGCTTGAAGAATTGAGTAAGTAGGACTTATATTTATATTCATATCTATATCTACAGTTATATTTATATTTATATCTATATCTATATATAATTAAGATTATTTAGTAATTATAATTATGCTGAGTATTTAAACTTTTATTAATTTTTTTTATTATTCTTTATTTATTTTTATCTAACTTATTTTTATTTTTATTATAAATGCTTCTCTTACTGCTTTTTATCAAAAATTTAAGAATATTATTCAAAAGCTCTATAATCAAAATCAATAGTTATTGACTAAATATCAAATTTTATATACTAAATATTAATTTTTATAAATAGTTTTAAATAGTTCTCATTTTCAATTTTAATCTCATCTGAAACTATTACTATAAGACTCTGAAAAGATCATTAGTTAAACTTTAAAATTTGATATCTGACTCTTCTTAATCAAAGTTAAACTATATATTGATAAAGCTACTATTAAAAATTTAATTACTTAGTTCTATTATATCTATTTAAATCTAGATTCAAATATAAAAATAATAATTTTTTCTTAGCTAGCTTAAGCTGAAGAAGTAAGTAATTAAAATTATAATTTAATTCTTAATTAGCTTCTTTATATATATAATAATTTAAATAAGATAATTAATATAGAAGAAAAATTATATAATCTAAAGTAAAGCTTAAATAAATTTTCAACAATTTATATTACTAAGTTTGAATATATTCTCTATGAGATAAAAGCCCAGTGGTAGTGAGATTTTTTAAAGATATATTAATTATATTAAAGTATATCAATTTATAACTATTCAGCTCAACAATTAAATTTACCTCAGACTTATAAAAAATTGTTATATATTGATTAGCAGTTATCTTTTAATTTCTTCTATTCATTTTTATCTCATTCTTTTTAGCAAACTGATTGCTCAGCTTGTTATAATTATTCAGCTTATTATGATAACTTTGATTCTATGAATCTAATCAAAATTAATACTTTTAACTTTTTATATAATTTTTTATTATATACTTTATTAATTTTATTTTTTTAATAAAAGAAATACTATTAAGAATACTTTTATATATATTGTAAATTTAATAATTATTGAGTTAAAAATTATTATTTCTATTTATATTCTTCTAAGTCTTATTATTGCTGTCAAACTATTATATGAATCTCAGTTTTTAATCAAGAATATAATAATAATAACTTAGATAATAGTGAAATATAAAAGAAGATATATAAAAATCTAGTAAATAATAGCTAAAATTATTAATCTACTAATAAATTCAATAAATATTATTTTACTTTTTTTTATATCTAGCATAGTTACTTGAGAACAAGTACTCTTTTATAATTGAAAATTAATATTATAATACTATTGTTAATAATATAAGATAAGATTAATTTACTTTAATTCTTAATTATGTATATATATTAAATTGATTATTTTATTTCTATATTTTAATTCTCAGTTTAGTATTTTTATTACAGTTATCTAGTAGATAGATAAATTAAACTTTTATTTTACTATCATAATATTTTTAAATTAAGTTATAATATAAAATATTTAATTTAAAAAAAAACTCTACTTTATATTTCTTAAATATATTTAGAAATAATATAAGTAAAAAAAGATTTTTAGATTAAAATAAATATTATAGAAATATAAAAAAAATATTATCTTTTTAGATATATAGAATATATACTATAATTAAAGATCAATTATT